ATCGTTTCCAGTCGATCACTGTTCAGCTTCCGTCTATAACGCTCAACACTTCCTGCACAGATGTTTTACAATAAAAATAAAAAAAACATCAGCTCAACTTGCATTTAAGTATCTGCAGGAAGTTTTGTCTTTCACTGACTGTGGCTTTACAGCGACCACAAAAAACTGAAGTAGAAACAATTACACAATACACAAAGGTGTAACGACACATCGATCTGGATATATTGAGATTAATGTTGAACAATCCGATATATCAATGTAACGTGAAAACACTGATTATATTGGCACTTTGTGTGGAAATACAAAGCACGTGTCTGCCTGATCACCCTGCTGCTGTCTGGCAAGACATACAGGAATATCCACGGAAGTACATCAAGATCCATCTTTGCTCCCTACATCTCAGCCTTTCTTACCGTCAGGTGTGCATAATGCAACTACAGGTAATTCATTTGTTAATTATGTAATTAAAATGTGAAATCATCCGTTGTTTTATTGGCTGTAAAAAAAAAAAATCATCATTGTGCATCCCTAAAAAAATGTATAGTTAATGTGGCTATTGATAACAACTAGTGAGACAGTTGTGGTAAAAACTGCTGGTGAGTCACATTCAGCAAGTGACAATACATAACTATAATATCATCCTAAAGAGGTCACCCTCAAATAAATGAAAGCTAAGGCTTGACAGGGCTATTTGAATGATTCTTAAAACAAACAACTGTGGAACTATGTCCGACATACTTTATGGTATATTGAAACTGTACATATATGACCGGTATTGATGTCTACAGTGCAGCCACATACAGGGACTGAAATCTTTAGGTGACTAACTATGATGTTATGGAGCCAATAGGACCGGCCCAGGCCTGTACACTGCTCCAAGTGACTGAGCCAGTTGTTCAACTACAAGGCATGAAAAGAAAGTGAAAGTGCATATATAAATATTTAACTGAAACTAGGCCTGCACGATATGGTATAAAAAAATCATATTGCAATTATATTGACCGATACTGTGATTACGATAGGATTCACAACTAGTGGAAATGATCATTTTTGCATTACAATTTTTTTAACAGACAAAAAACAATAACTGATGATGTGACATTTGTAAAAATCTGTACCAAACAAACAAGATTTGTAGACCAGGGCATCTCTGCAGTATTACACTACGCCATTACAACACTGTTTGTCACACATTTGACCTTTATTAAACAACTGCAGCTTCTAGGATTTGCATATTGCACTTGGCCACGTTGTAATTTCAATAATATTTCGATTAACTGTGCAGCCCAGACTCAAACCAGCTCTGAGGAAAATAATGCTGTTCAATCAACCTGCAGTAACACTCGAATAGGAATAAGTAGCTTGAATAGGAATAAAATACTCCCTCCATGCCCCCACAAGGAGTCATGGGTCAGGATTCTGACTATGTCTCTGAGACACTTCAGTAGGGCCTGTGCCTGCTAACACGGAAACCCTGAGAATGTCCTTGTGCACTACGCTGCGCTGTAGCTGCTGTAATCTGGCATTTATGCACCTATTGATGTAATATAAATTTGAGTATTTGTTGCACAAGTGGATGAGGTCATTTAGATCAAGTGGGCCATGTCCTAGAGTTGTGCATACATGTACATAAATGGTGGGACCCAAATCTGGACCATACATCTTTAAACCAGAAATAATCCTTTTTTTTATTTGCAGGCAGCAGAAACAAGCTAAAATCATAACACTAGAGTATTTTTTGTGTCAAGTTAATATGGGACCAACACTTAACACCTATTCACACATCCTGCAGACACAGAGCAACATTAGCACCGACTGGAAGTCCAATATTCACTCTTCTTTTAGCTCGGTTTTGGTTTCCAGACAAAACACCAATTTTACCAGCTAACTGCAACCCATTGATTACACTCTGTCTCTTATTATTCCCACTGAGCACTTTGTCTACTTGGGACATACGAATATCTTACTGGCACAGTCAATGACGAAAACCCAGCCCAAGCTTGAAGCTCTATACAACAAAAACATCCCCATCCTAACCTGAAACCCAACACCTTCTATCAAGTAGCAGAACCCCTCTATGTCTAAATACATCAGCAGGCTGTGTGTATGGTAAGGGAACACCTAACAGATGGACAACAATCCTGTGAGGAAAACCTCATGCCAAACTCCTTTCTAACCAAATGGTGTTGGCTTGCTGAGGTATCCGGTTAGGGTTCTTAAAAGGTTCAGAGAAAGCTTAAGACGTTTCTGAATCATTAAGAGCCAACCTGGCTCCCTCTGTCCAGTCTCACTGTCCCTGGGCAAGACACTGAACCCAAATTGTTCCAACAGGGTTCCCACTCTTTTTAAGAAGAATTATCCAGGAGTTCTCTTGACAAGACAGGACAGCACTTGCTCCCAAACTGTCATATCATTTACCGCTAGGCCCTACTGACAGCTCTTAATACTGCAGGGTTAATGATGAAGTGTTCCAGGTTCATTACAGGTCCGCATTTATGAGACACTCTTAATTCACTTCATTTGCAGATTTTTCAGGTTTTATTTCCAATTTTCTAACAACATGACTTTGGCCACAGGCCGTAAGTAAATGGTAAATGGACCTGTATATAGGCGACTTTCTAGTATTCCTGACCATTCCCAAAGGCGCTTTTACACTACGTGACACATTCACCCTTTCACACAGCCCATTCACGTCCAGTGATGGCAAAGTCCATGCGAACAGAACTAAACTCATGTCATACACATTCACGACACCGATGCTATGCATGCGGGAGCAATTTTGGGTTGCAGTATCCTTGCTGCGAATGGATACTTCGACAACGTGGCAGGAGGAGCCGGGGATCGACCAACAACTTCTGATTGACGACCCCGCTCTGCCTCTGGCCACAAGCCGCAGCCACGAAAGCCTAGATTTGAAGTAACACTTCAAACTTTAACTCAACGAAGACATTTTCCACGGGCTTTTTGAGAGAATTCCTGCTCGCGGCTCCAAAAAAAAAGACCCAAAATTAACGGTCGTGGTCAGACTGTGTAATTACAGCAATGGGTGTCTCTCAATGATGCACACTTGCCCAAAAGGACGAGGGGCTAAAACCAGACAGTGTTATGCAGTATGAATTCATTCCGGGTAATTTCATTGGCAGCAGGAAGTAGCTTTATTGGCTTCCATGCGCCACTTTAGCAGTAATTCATTAGGAAAATTAACGGGGCGCCATCCTCCAAACACTGTATCCACTTGCCTTTAATAATCCATATGCCTCTTGATGAGCAGTTTGGCACACTGCATGATGGCAGCCTCTGCCATCAGTGTATGAATGTGATAAAAGTGTTGTAACGCACTTTGAGTGGTTGGTAGACCAACAAAAGTCCTTTACCACTGCCATTGCAACAAACAGATGATCCACCAGGCCAGCATTCGCCTCCAAAGACACGTTTATCGAAATGTTCCAGAACTGGTTTCACAGTTTACTCACAGCCACCACCATGGTGTAAGTATGGTAGAAAAGGAGGCTGTGGGACAACAGCCAATTTCTAATGGAAATTTGATGAGTAAGAGAGTGGGTGCATGCCCAGTTGTACAACTTCTGTGTGTTTTGTAAGGGGCCAGTTTGTCAATGTATCTGATATCTCCATGTCATTCTGGCTGTCCTCAGCTTCCTCTCGTTCCTCTCCTCTCTCCTCTCCTCTTTCTGCAACTCATTCATGTCCCATTAATTGGTATGTTACTAAACTTCACTTCTTCCCCGGAGTTCTTTGTTTATCGTCCTGCAGGTTCTTTCAGGGGGGGATCCTGGTGGACGCCTCCTGCCATGTCCTGCTAGACTACCAATTGCTAAATCAACTGATATTAGTGTTATTATTATTATAATATTATCTTATTACTAGATACTATCATTACTATAATCACTGCTTCCATTGTCCCCCCAGGTTGTTGTCAATCTCATCTTCTCATGTTCATCATCATCAGTCACTACTATTGAGTGTAGTTGTTGCTCTGTTTGTTGCTGTGCACCTCTGTCTCTCTGTCTCTCTCACCCCACTGGTCAACGGCCAGACGTCCACCACACTAGAGCCGAAGGGTCTGTCTAGGTTTTGTCTGTTAAGGCAGTTTTTCCTTGCCCTGTCGCCAAGGTCTTGCTTCATGGTGGTACTGTTGGTCTCTGTAAATGTTTAAAGGAGTTCGGTCTAGACCTGCTCTATTTGAAAAGTGTCCTGAGATAACTTCTGTTATGAATTGGCGCTATACAAATAAAACTGAATTGAACTGAACTGAAAACACAATGTCAGTCTGCAGCAGACAGCTACTTTTGAGACATATGCTGTGACATCTGGACAGAACATAATCAGCCATGCTCACCAGCTAAATACATAGCTACTGTAGTACCACCGTTGTACAGGAAAACTAAGCTTATCACAAAACGACAGACAATAAGTTACATAATGTAGCTAGGTAAAAATATTACGATAATTTATATATTCAATAAACAAAGATTTTTCTTAGTATTTTCACTTTTCTTACAGCTTTTCCTGACATAATATTACCAGTTTCTCCCACTGATACTGGTTTGGGAACAAGGTCTACCGTCAACATGTGAAATGTTATTTAAGCGGTGTGCTCCTAAGATAATAGCTTATACATTAATAACAATGCCGAAATAGACACTGGATTCCAGTGTTTCGTAAACGCTCTAAAATCAAGTCAAACGACGAGTGTGTGTTTGCCATTATGCCAGAATACATTTAATTTTCGGATTCTTCAACAGAGTTTGGTGTGACGTTAACGAACTTATCTGGATGAGAAAGTAACGCTACACAGATAGCGTAAAATGCTCAGAAACAGCGTAAGAATTGGCGCCACAGTCCACCACTGGTAAATGGAAGAAATTCAAGTTGGCTACTTTTCAAGCTTTCTAACTAGCTGATGCCTGATTCCGTGTACCGTTAGCTTCAATCACTGTCCACATCCAAACAATTGTTGTTATGAACGAGCGACTCCATACCTGACTGGCTTTATGGAACTGTTTCTTCAGCCCGGCCACAGACATCTTCGACAGCCGTGTAACGCTTCACCTCTGGAGGAAATGTTCCGTAAAGCAGTGGATAGAAGTGGGCAAATGTACGTTAAAGAAAGAGCCAGGCGACTCCACAACACTGCACTCATCAGTCACCACGGCTCAAGATTGCAGTAGGACCTGTCTGCGTTGAGTCAAGCTCACAGCAGCAACGGCTGACGCAAGCGGAAATAGTTTTATTGTCCAAAAAATAAAGTTTTTAAATTTTTATAACGACTATAAATGCACTTGTGGATAATATATACACGTAATATGATACAATGTGTTATCAAAATACATGAGGAAAAAAAGAAATATGTGGGATTTATGTAAAACGCTATATAGAAACATCAAAATAGACGGTCATTTCTTAGGCATTTCATGCATAGATAAGAAGCTCAAAAGAGGAGCAAGAACTTAAACCTGCAGTAGGTAACTTTTATTTTAAAAAAATGTTTCACTATATCCTGACAGTAGAACATGAGACAGATAATCTGTGAAACATTCAGGTTCCTCTGGCTCCTCCTAGTGCTCCTAATGGCATTTGGATAAATCCACCGGGCTGGGTTTGTTAACTTTGTTAACTTTGTTAATTTGTTAGCTTAACTGAGGTTATAATTAAACTAATTTAGGATCCGTATACAATGTGTTCTTTTTTTCGTTGCAGAAAAGTTTATAGAGTCATTTTATATTAAAGGTTGTGAGACATTGGACAGTCGTGGTTTTATTTTGAAAGTACAAGCCGGAAGCCGGAGTTACGTGGTCTTGCCTAATTTATTGAGTATGCGGAGGAGGAGAGGGTTTCCTGAATCGGAGAGATGTCGCCACTTCTCAAACCCCATTGGCTGACAGCTGCTCGTGCGGAGGAAACAGCGCCGTAGAGAAACGGAGACTTCAAAGGCGCCAAATATATTGACAACTAGTGGCCGAATAATAGGATTAAGTACGCCTATGGAAGTCATTGACAGTAAGATGGAAGCCCATTTGCGCCAGTGTTACAAATAAAATATTCGTAGTCTTTCTAATGACAAACTTTCTCAAAACATTGAGTTAGTAATAACAACTTAGTATCACAGTCATTATTTTGAGATGCTAACTCAATATTTTAAGAAGGTTTCTCATTATAATAACTTACTTTACTTACCTCCTTCACATTGGTGGAAATGGGCTTCCATAATTAACCACCCTTTGCAGGCTATCTAACAAAATATGAACAAAAAAAACTGCAGTCTACTGTTCAGCAAAGTAGAGCATTTTGTATACCAAACTTTTAAAAGTGGGTGTTATTTAACACTATAGACAATATAAAAGTGGTTGTTATTATAATTTCTTTTTCATAGTCAGAGTTTTGGTTTGTGTAACTTTGCATTGTACAACTTGTGACACAAGTTGTATGCTTCAGGCATTTATAATTTTAACTGGCATTTATAATTTTAACCATTTATCTGTTACTTTTAGCTAACTATTTAGACTTCTCCCCTACAAGTTTTCATGCACTCTCAATTGTAACATTATTCAGGTATTCGGGTGTTACAGACTGTGTGTTTTGATAT